TTATTTAGAAATAAGATTATATCGCAATATCAGTTTTTCATTGTAAAATAAATTTTAGTCCAGTCTTGGATAGGAACCAAGCACCATTTTTCCATATAAAGTTAAAATAAAAATACGAACATGAGATTTAGAGCATCATAATGGTATAGAAGCGCAATAAAAATGTCTGTATTCGTCATTAATAGACTGGGGCAAGATTACATTTGATTTTAGTGGTAGTTAATAGGGATGTTTCACTGTGACATTTTCAGATCTATTGTGACTCTTCTCTGATCTCTAGGTTATATTTTCCAGTTCTACTTTTTTAAAAACCAAACACATAACAGGCCATAACTCAAGAACCACTTTAGATATTGAAACTTTTTTTTTATTTTCAAGATCGGATATTTTACAATATGTTTACATAAGAAAAATTCGATAAGGTTGTTTTTTCCATTCAAAAATTGTAAACAATCCATCCATTTACTTTTAGAGCATAGCAATTTTCAGCAATCGTGTAATTTTTTTATTGATAAAGATTTTCACATACTGTCTACAAAGAAAATACAGCAGAAATATTAACAAAGTTTTTGAAAAAACTACAATCTATTATTTTTAATAGATTTCGAGATATCGATTTTTGAATTCAGAGTTCTAATAGCGCGACCGCTATCGAACACCCACTCAATTCCACTTATTTTTACCAAAAATGCAAGTGTTTCTAGCTTGCACTTAAAAAAATTCAAGCTATAGGGAAAATTACAACGACTCGTTAATAAATAAACAAATCAAGTATCACCAGACGTAATTAAATCGTGAAGCTGAAAGCATGACGTACACCTTTCCCTAGAACTTTAACTACTGACAGAGGTATCGATTGGGTCGACCGGTCAACTACGACAAATCTGCTATTTCCCCTTCCACGTCTCTTAGCGATGTGCACAGTTTCTCGGTTTATTTCATACGTTTGGCAACGTGTTTACTGTCCTCTCTTTGTTCAGTACATTATAAACGCATTGTACTCTTCTTACATACGGAAATCTCGATCCAAGACTAACCTTTGCCAGTCCTTAGTAGATTACTGGTTTAACTAGCCACAATCTGTTATTTGCTGTCCCTTCTCTATAACCTTTCTATATCCTAACATCCCAAATCCACGACGACACGTGTGACACGAATCCGTAATGAGACCGACCAAGAAGGAAAGCCACCTTAAATCGAGTAAAGTCATGTAAAATATTATAATAAAAGTTCCCAAGGAAAACGCCAATATATCAGGGCGACACCGCGCACCGTTCCAAAAGAAAAATCCGTTTTAAACTTTCGCATATATAATGGAGAGAGATACAGCCAGCAGGGAGTTCACAGAGAGTACTGGATCGATAAGGGAATTTGAATAAAAGTCGTAATTTTACTAAAAAAAAACTTTAACTGAACTTTAGGACAAAATAAAACACTATTTCACAAAGATTGTAGATACTAGATTGTATGGGAGGGGGAGATTAATAATAAAAGTAAATAAGTATATTGTTTTATTAGGAGTAAAAAGGACACTTTTCGGGACGATACTGTACGTTTGATGAGCGTTAACGCCTCCCACAAACCGCCGCACAAAAGGCAATTTTTATTCCGAATAGTACATGCTATTTTTTTTTCAAACGTTCCAAATAATACAAAAAAGATTTAAGTCTCATACCACAGATTATACAGATTATAAACTTTGTTTTTTCTTTATTGTTTTTCGTGGTTCCAATTTTCGGAATCGGAATTAGGGTAGGTTGGGAATCGGCTGTAAGTCGAATTGTGTTAGAATATGTTACGGTTTTGTTAGTAAAGTACTACTTTTGTTTTTAACTTTTTATATTTCACTCAATTTGTTACTTCAAATATTATTCGAAATTTTACTTCTCAAAAATACTTATTTCTTAATGATTTTACAGGTATAGAAACGTAAGTCAAAACAATAGAACTATTCAAGCACACTTTAGTTTTTCATAACGGGAACCCTATTACCACAAATTATACAGATTATAATCTTTGTTTTTTCTTTATTGTTTTTCGTGGTTCCAATTTTCGGAATCGGGCACTAGTTAGGTTATTAGTTTGCGCACATAGCACGCCCACTTATGGCCTGTAAAATTGTGCACAGCGCCTGACCGGCACAGTTATTAGAGAGATGTCGGAAAACCGAATAGCGTCATGCAGTATTTACGCGTACCTTATTATGGTTACGATATGGGCGAGTCAATTTTTAACGCAACACCCGCTAATAACGTTACCGCCTGACGTAATTTGCGGATCAATTACACCAAGCGCTATTTCTGAATAACGTTTTAAAAATTGCTTAAATGGGCATCTGTGGGTATTTGACAACCGGGGCCGGCCGGCGAGATCTTTTATTTTAGGTTATGTTTGAATTGTTTTGAATTATTACTTTAGTTTTATTACGTAATTTGATATTTAAATAGTTGGAATTAGTTTTAATTAAATAAATATGGCCTAAAATATGAATTCCACTTCTTCCAATATTAAAGAACCTATAAAGAGGCTTAGGTTTACAGCAGATGACGACTTAGCCCTTCTAAGAGAATTTGTTGCTTGTTGCCCTAAACCCACTGGCAGTCGTTAAACAATAAAACACTGGAAATAAGCACTTTAGCCCTTTAGTTTTAAAATACCTAGTAAACAAAACAATTTCAAAGTTTTAAATTCAAAGTTTTCATTCAAAGAATTCATTCCGATCCGATAACTATAAATGAAGAGAGTTAATACCACCTCAGGTAAAAGAAATAACACCTGGCCTTATTAACGTCCATGCACGCTATTCGGTTTAGCGACATCTCTCTATTACGCTGTTTATTGTTATTTTACACGAGTTTATTTTTGCGCACAGGAAATTTTACTCGTTTGCACATCGTCATAGAAAACAATTTTCGTACCACGATTAGGGACAAGATTTTTATCTGTATACTTATAGGATACCTAATCTGTGGTCATCCCTTGTATGTAATTATATATCGAGAAACTATGGTTACACCAGTTGAATTTGACAGGTTATATCAATTTAATAATTTCTTTTCGAACTTTTATGCCTAGGCGTTCAAATGACTTTTTTATATTGTCAATCACGTCGCAAAAATTAATAATTTTGTGACGTTTGAAAAGAAAGTTATTTTTTGAAAATCGAGTTGATAAGTACTCAAAAAACTAATTTCGAAAGAAGTTATGAAGAAATCTAGCCAGGGCAGAGTTAATACAAAAAAATCATTAGGATGGTTTTAAAGAAATTATAGGCCTAGTCCAGTAACAAAAATTACCAGACTTATTATTGTAAAACCTTATTTTCTGGACTGAAATCAATATTTATGTAAAGGTGTGTTTCCCGATAGAGTATGGAAAGAAAAAAAAGTTTGGAATAAGCAATATAAATTACTTCAATATATATTCTAAAACTACCTTTAATGATATGTCTAATTTTACACCAATTTTATTCATATAAATTTTATAAAAATCTCAGATAAAAACACTCAGATATAAACAACACTCTCTAAAGAAGAAAACATTAAAAAAAAAGAAAAAAATCAAAAAATCCTAAACACGTTCAAGATTTTTCTGCCCTTTTCCTCGATTTCAACCCGGAAAAAGTCAACTAAATCATACTCCCTCCCCACTGCTTTGATCAAATAAAAACCACGTGCTTTGTGGAAATGTGACGCCAAACCGGTGGCTATCTTTCGACGTTGACAATTTTCTTATTTCTTCCCTAGATTCAGGTAATTTTACTTATTTAGTTTTTATAGAATTTTCGAGTGTTTATCAAAATGTTTTCCAAAAACATCGTAATCTGGACTAGAAAAACCCTGGACTCCAAGAATGTAATTCTAAAACCACAAAGGATCTACTAACCAGGAATAAAGTGTGGATTACAGCATGATTACAGCAGACCTCTTTGTACGGCATATATGGTTGTCAAGTGCTACCCGAACAAGCTCAACCTGTAACATGAAAGTCATTGTTACTGAGACAGACTGCGATAAAGATCTTAAAACAACAGAGCACATGATATGTCACTACAGGACTCTGGATCGCAAACGATATTTTCTATTTTTGAAAGAAAGGCTAGAATCGGAGGAACTACCTATATGCTTCCATCCTATCAAAGACCTGACAAGCTGGTGCAGGTCTATTTTTGTATGGATATGTCATTCTTATTATACGAGGGAAATGTTGAAGATGCTTCTCATCATTGTCGATGTTTTGGACAATATTTATAGCTGCCAAGTCGAAAATTATCAGTTACTTATTGAGAAATTTATAGAAGTAGAAGTAGTTTTTACTAAAGAGCAAGAGAACGCACAAAATCACAATTTTGTCTATTTTTACTGACAGTTCGACAGGCAAAACGATACTTAAGGTAGCCGCTTTTGAATTGCTTAGAGCAATCAGTAGAGACGTTAAGCGCGTCAGATGAGAATACCCAAACCGGTAGTTAAGTGCGCGCTAAGCGAAATTAATTATTGAGCGTCTAAAAGCGCTTAGCGTTTTCTAAATTAGAGAATTCGGGCCCAGGAGCAAAGATAGGAGTATTTGGGTTAAAAACTAAATACTCTACCCTAGCATTCTTCAGGCAGAAATCTTCACTGTCGAAAGATCTATCTGAAACGAATATATTCATAAACTTTAGTACAACTGATATCGGAGATGGAGAACTAACCTCTGTAAAACCGTCTCAGATACTGGCTTTTGCCAAAGCCCTGAGACTGTATGATGAGTTATAACTCAAGAAAGGGGGACACAATAAATCTATAAGGTCGCGGTGATAAACTTTCCCTCTTACATACAATCCACAGTCTCTACAATGTTCATTTAATATTAAAAAACAAAACGGACTTGTTGACAAATTGTCATAACAGGCCTCTGGGAGAAGCGAATTAAACTGGCAACACTGGCGACGCTCGTGCTGGCGCCGCGCCGATTTCAAAGAGACGGTTGGCGTCGCCGAAAAACTTTCAGTCCGAAACGGCCGCCCGTTTCGAAGTGTTCGTGTCCGCTGTCATCGGTAGGAGCGCAACGTCACGTGGAAAAAATCAGAAGAGCGAGAAGGAGAGAAGACTTTGAAGGAGCTAAGGTAAGACAAAGAGGTATATATTTTTTTTAATCTAATTTATTATTTTTAAAATACTGTCAATTTAGTTAAAAAAAAGGAGTAACATAACTACTTTTTTAGAAAGTTTAGGAAATAGTTTAAAAGTAAAAAACAAACAATGGTAGTTTAATTTTATTTATAGTGAGGAATTTATTTTTTAATATTTTTCTCATGGTCGGACATTTTTTTAAATTTACAAAACGAACTTATGAAAAAAATTAAGGAAATATAGAGGGTGGTACGAACTGTATTTCGGAAACTTCGGCAGCATATTCTGCAGATAAAAATAAGTAAATAAGTTCGTATAAATGTATGTCTTAAAATGCTTGGTTTCGGAGATACAGGGTGTAGTAGTATAAGTTTTATTTTTATGTCGATTTTTTCCAAATAATTTCTGAAGTAACGCTAATATTTGGATGAAAATTGGTGAAAAATACGGCGTCAGCGATGGCTATGAAATGAATGATCGCTGTTATTTTATATGTAAATTTATATGGGAAATGTCATCGACGGAAATGACCCAGCCAACTGCGAGCGCCGCTTTTTTTTTCGATCATACAGTAGTTATTAGACTTATTATTTGAAATGTTTGCCAAAAATTCAACAAAAACTGTTTTGTCATCATTTTTTTTGCAGAAAAATTTATGATTAGTTTAAAAAAAAATAAAATTTTCCAAATTTATTATTTCATTCAAATAACTATCTACTGGACATGTTTATTTTTAGTCAATAATGACATGTATTGACTAATTCCATTCTAAATATCTTGAGAACGGTTTTTACCAAGAGACATTTTTGGCGTAAAAAGTTACGGAAATGTATATCTTTTCACTCAGTAGTTTTATACAGGTCCGAACGAAAAGTCGTTACTCTTCAAAACAGTTATAACACATGTATGTAGTGCCCTCTACAATTAGGAGTCATATTGACATCAAAATCAAATTTCTCATGTCAAAAAACTCCCAGACACCAATTTTCATCCAAATATTTATGTTATTTCATAAATTATTTGGAAAACACCGAAATGAAAATGAAAGTCTTTCAGTTTTTCTTCAATTTTTCAACTTAAAGGGCAAGTTTTCTATTTTTTTTTTATTTGTTAAAACGTTACTTGGATTTATTAGAAATATTTAAAATTAAAAATCTCCTAAATATTTATTAAACAAAAATACGTAACAATTCTATATCCAGTATATCTTGCAATATCAAATAATAAAAATTAAACAAAATATGAGCTTTTATTTTCATAATAAATTCAACATGCGTCAGTTAGTAGTTGTCAGTCATATATCTGCTTTTTCGTTAAATATTTATAAAGACAAACATACACGTACAAGCTTGTAACAACTCTGTTGACTGATCTAAATAAAAAATGAAGTTGTTGACTGAATAAATATTTAAAATGCACAGTTTTCCACTGTTTTATATATCTAGGTAAGTACATTTTTTACGAAAACTTACAAACTTGACAGTTAAATTTTTAGGACTATTAAAATATGTCCTCAAAACGTTGAGAACACTGATGGAAAAAATAATAAATAAGATAGATAGAACAGAGCGACCAGTATGTAATTTTGTTTACATTTTAATGGTCTAATACAATACCATACGAACAAAAAAAAACGGTGTCACAAAAATCTTTCTAGAAAAAAAGACCAAATCATGTTGCCATATCATTTTTGACATAAAACTTATTTTTTTAACTTACTAATATTACAAAAAAAGGAATAGGTCTCTAGGTATCAAGGATTCTCTATCAATGGAAAAATATTTTTTGTCTGCATCCACTGTTCTATCCCTGTACTATGTACCAACTGTCCCGTCTGTTTCTCCAGTGGACATTCTGCTTTTTCCTGATCCAGAAATTTACTGCACTATGGGTTATACGTTTGGGTATACCCAGTACTGGCTCTGAACCGAGACAGGATTCTATATAATGATCCTTACCTTGCTAGTTGATCGCTGCCTTTTGGTTGCAGAGCTCCCAGTTCACCCATGCAGGCATTCCCAGACGAATCTCGACGATATCTTTGGTCTCACTCAGAGAAAAATATTAAAATATACTGAGTGGTCCGAACTGTATTCCGGAAACTTCAGCAGCATATTCTGCAGATAAAAATAAGTAAAAAAGTTCTTATACAGGGTGTAGAAGTTTCATTTTTATTTCGATTTTTTCCAAATAATTTCTGAAATAACATCAATATTTGGATGAAATTTGGTATCTGGGAGTTTTTTGATATGAGAAATTCGATTTTGATATTAATATGGCTCCTAGTTGTAGATGGCGCCACCTACACCTTTTTAACTAGTTTGAAGAGTAATAACTTTTCGTCCGTACCTGTATAAAACTACTAAGTAAAAAAATATACATTTACGATGTTTTTAACGTAAAAAAGATCTCTTAATAAAAATCGCTACGAGTAATAGTTCTCGAGATATTTGAAATCGAAATTATCAATACCTGTCATCATTGACATAAATTATAAACATGTTGACTAAATAGTTAATAGACGGAAATCATAAATTTGAAAATTTTTTGTGCCAAATCATCACCAATCATCATTTTTCCGAAGACAATTTTATGATTAATTTAAAAAACTAAAAATTTTCCAAATTCATCTTTTTAGTCCAATAACTATCTACTCAACATGTTATTTTTTGTAAATAATGACAGGTATTGACTATTCCCATTCTAAATATCTCGATAAGGGTTGCTCGTAACGATTTTTACCAAGAGACATTTGTTACGTAAAAAAATACGAAAATGTATATTTTTTCACTCAGCAGTTCTATACAGGTACGGACAAAAAGTTATTACTCTTCAAAACAGTTAAAACACGTGTAGGTGGCGCCCTCTACAAATAGGAGTCATAATGACATCAAAATCAAAGTTCTCATGTCAAAAAACTATCAGACACCAATTTTCATCCAAATATTGACGTTACTTCAGAAATTATTTGGAAAAAATCGAAATAAAAATGAAACTTCTACACCCTGTATCTCTTAAACTAAGCATTTTAGGACATACATTCATAAGAGGTTTTTTACTTCTTTTTATCTGCAGAATATGCTCCCGAAGTTTCCGGAATACAATTCGGACCACCCTGTATAGAAAATACTTGAATTAAAATGTGAACAAAAATAGCTAGTATGATATAACATTCTAATATTAAGATTTGTTTTAATTAAAATAATTGTCAAAATTCTCATTGTTAAAAAAGAAACAGGATGTAACAGGCGTTTTATTAATTTTGACAAATGAGCCAGAAGCAAGACAAAGAGACATTCCGAGACCGTTCTCAACAGCGGGTTTTTCTTTTCAAATTCAAAGGTTTTCCTTGATAAAGGGCGCTAAAATCGCTGTAAAATAACCAAAGAAAGAAGGAGGGGGATGTTTGAATCGGGGAAGGGAGGGGTAAAAGCCAATTAGAATAAATGTGTAGTCATTAGCGGTCTTTGATTAATTATATTCGTTTGTTTTGCGATGTAAAAACCACGTTTTGTTCACGATTTTTTTTTGAATATAGGGATCTTAATTTTTAAATCAAACATGATTTTTTTATTTTGTGAAAAATAGAAATATATAGCATCATCATATAGCATTATCATTTTCAGCTTTTTCAACCATTTCCAGTTATAGTGTCGCTTCCCTCACAGGTTTGGTCTTCTTTTAGGTCTTTTAATTACTCGTTGGCTGTGTTATGTACCATGCTGTTGTTGGCTCGTACCATGCTGTAATTTTTGTGGTCCATCTGTTGTAAATAAATAAATAAATAAATAAATGCCTTTATTGGCAAAAAAATTTACAATTTGTAGACAAAGGTAAAGTAAACAAACAAAAGAGAATACAAAACAACATTTACGGCGTAGAAAGCCTTGTCTAGTAAATAAGATTTCAATGCTGTGCGAAATGAAGAAAATGATGTTATGGATTTGATTTCAAATGGCAGGTGATTGTGCATTTTTTTCGAGTTGTATAATATTGAACTTTTAACTAACTCTGAGCGTAGGGTAGGTAGATAAACATCTTGCTCCGCGTTCCTGAGTGGATAAGTGTTAGATGGTCTTTCTTGAGAAGCTGATACATGCTTACGTATTAGGCAAACGGATTCAAATATAAATAAGGAAGGAAGAGTTAATATTTTTAACTTTTTAAAAAGTCCTGGCAATGAGTTCTGCTGTTTAGTCCCAGTGAATATCGAACAGCTCTCTTCTGGAGCTTGAAAATGCGGGCAAATTAGGCTTCTTGGGTCTTTTGTCATATCCACTGTATTTCACGGTCTCTCATGGTTATTCCCAGCATTTTTTCATACCATATTTTAACATAATTTTCCGAACTGAAATTAAATATTTAAATATAATTATTAAAATTCTGACGTTTAAACGCGCTTTACCTCGCTTAATTTAAATTAACCGCCCAATATTAGTTATAGGCTCTAATTGGAGAACTTAATGGGTCAGATTAAATGCTAACAAATTGGTATCTAACGGGAAATTACAGCCGATTGATTAAGAGTATTCAATCTCGAGTTATAATTTATCCAGTAATTGATTGCAAAATCGCAATTTATTAATACAAAAAATATATTTAAATCCTAGCTACTTGTAGAAAAGATTTATTAATATTTACACACTTTTATTCCGTAAATCTTCATATTTTGTTCACTCAAGCTAGTATTCTACCCATATGCTACTCTAAAAGATATTTTTCTTCTTATAAACTATCTTAATTGAACCATAAATCAAGGCACTAATAAATTTTGAACAACTAGATTGGAAGAAACTCAACTTTCTGGAGTTTCCCTCCTGTTTTCCTGTTTCCCTAAAAAACGATAATTTAGCTAGAGAGAAACTATAGTTTTATAACTTTTCTTCTCTTCCCGAAAATATATATTTGTGGAAAATTTGTTATAGTGCTGTAAAATTGACAATAGCTGGCTAGAACGCGGCCTTATCGGGAGTTCTATTATGTCAGTTTGAGT